AATACACCAAAATACAACTATGCAACACAACACCATGCATGCGGTACCGACTCATTGGTTCATTCTATGGAACCCGGACAGATCACCTACACCCGCACTTGGCCATGATCCACCCTCACCACTCCCCACTCAAAGGAATACGAACGAATCACATACACTCCCCCGAGCAATGACTCATTCCACCACTACACCATAATATGCATGACACCAGATGCATAGGAATGAACACAAACATACATTGTGCATACGATTCACAGATCACACCACCATTCATCACATATACATATATATGGCATACACTAATTAATCATACACTTACACAAAGCATTAAGGAATTCACTCCCTATCATCAAATATACACCCTACATTATTCAATCACCATCCATACACTTATCATGGTCAAAGGGATCCTACGAGGCTAATGCACAAGGCAAAACAACACCAAAAACCACATTCTGCTGCTACATTTGTTGGTTCATTCGCCAGGCGAAGTCCCGCAGCGAATGCTCGCTATGGCTCGCCAGGCGAACCTGCTGGCGAAGCCCATTCTCAACTATCGCGCATTCGCCAGGCGAAGGAATCATTCGCCAGGCGAACCTTCGCTGGCCATACTCGTCAGGCGAACTTCATTCTTTTTAAGTCTGGAACTTATTTTGGAATTACTCGCCACTGCTCGCTACTACTCGCCAGGCGAATCCTCGCCACCATTCGCTAGGCGAACCTTCGCCAACACTCGCCAGGCGAAACCCAGCGAATGCTGTGATACCCCAAAATCCCCACTGTTCTGCAATGCTATCTGAGCCAATTCCAAGCCTAACATTCTACCTCCAACTTCTATCCTACTACCAGTACAAATATTACACATTACGCTAATCCATTGCTTCCTAATCCCCACCACAGAACTAATCTTCAGACATATCACCAATGTCTCTGAAGTTACTCAGAACCTCACTAACACCATAACCTCAGCCTATACACCAGATCCACCAATACCAGTTCACAATTCATCAATATCGAGCATTAATTTATCATAATCAACAACAATAGCAAGCATGCCAATATACAACTTCATACATCGATAAATTCCCACGGGATTAAGGAATCCCCTCTACCCCAATTCATGTATATACCATCCCAATCAGTTTCTCCCCCCTTACCTTGATAATCGTTCTGATCGGTGAAGAATCCTTCCAACGGTTGACAGTTCTGACCTTCTCTCTTCCCTTATATTCTTCGCTCTTCTCCCTTCTCCCAATTCTCTCTCCTCCCGATATCTAACGTGACTTTTCCTTTTCTCTCTTCCTAACTCTCTATTACCCCTCAATTCCTATTTTATATTTTTAATCCCAATATTTAATAAAATAATACTGATATTATTTTCCCACGGACCATTATAATAATATTAATCATATTAATAATAATAATAATAATATTATACTCCCAATATTAATAATATTACTACAAATAATAATAATAATTAAAATAATATTAATAATAATAACACTATTACTATTAACTTACTCTACTATTATATCAACACCAAATCACCACAAATGCTCCTTATATATCAGGACACCCACCAACATACTCCATCACACCCCCACCTAAGGGCACCCAAAATACAATAATTAAAATAACACCAAAATGATTAAATAATTAAAATGGGTGTTACATCACCCTCCTCAACGGGGACAGCCATGTCGGAATCATGGTCGTCGCCATTGGTAAAGGTGGTGAAAGCAGTTTCATGGAGGTTATTGTCAATGTGTGGGCTGGCCATGATCGATGAAAGTTGAGATATGATTTGGTTCTTTGACTTATGAGAAAGAAAGAACAGGGAAGCAAGAGTTTCCCACAGACGGCGTCACTGATCTTACTGAACCAGAAAGAGATCAGCAGCCAACAACGCGTCGTGAACTCCTAGTTCGCCGGTGATGGAGAAGAGGAGGGAGGTGTACTTGCAAGACACTCTGTTGCCAAAGTGAGAAAAGGGAGAGAGTAAGCAAGTACAGAAGCAAGTGAGTTTAGAATACCTGACCCTCTTGTACAAGAGGGTATTTATAATATGCCCTCAGCGTTGAGGCAAAGATTATCTGTATTTGGTTGGATCTTCAGGCTCAATACGAATAACTATCAGAATCTATGTGGCGTAGGGAAGACCAGCATGTGGTATTTGTCCTGTGTCAACTGCCCTGTGATCTTCGGAAGGTGGAGACCTATTCTTTCAGACGCGGGTAGTTGTCTGATGACGTATCCCCACGTGAGGAGCATGTGGAGACCGTGGGAAAGACGCGTGAGCGCTCCCTGTGTGGGTTAAGAGATTGAGCCTTACTAGACTCTCTCTGACGAGGAACTGGGTTGAATCGTGCCTGACGGTGGGTCAACCTCTGCCTCAGTCCAGAAATAAAATTTAATTTACTATAATTTTTTTTAAATACCTCAACTTTTTTAAGTTATAAAATTTTTTTATTGAATTTTAAATATAATCCACAATTAAAACAATCCTAATTATCTTAACTTAATACCACAAAACTTATTTAAAAGTAAAAATGTTGATCAAATGTCACAAAACTTTGTCATCATAAATAAGTCTTCCGAAATTTTTTGAAATACTAACTGAATACTAGTACATGCGTAATATATAAGACAGGTGTGCAGCACCGTCTATACAGATTGCTGGAAGAATCAATTTACAATGTGCTATTAGTCCATCAACAGATTCAGATCTGTGTTCGATGTTCACGTTTAAGCTTATTATACTAGTACTATTATAATATTTGATCGAAAATGTCTTGTATTAAATAGTTTCTTGATTTCAACACTAACAGAAAATGTCAGAATTTTATTATTTCTGAATGGTAGGGATTGAATTAAAAAGATCGATAGCTTCCATGGGAAGAATTTCTTTTATGGGTGTTTGTTAAGTTTAATTTTAAAAAAAACACATTCTCGAATAAATGAATAGGATATAAAAAAAGTCATGTTTATTACAGGATTGCAAATTAATTAATTTTGAGTAGAGTTTTTGGGACAGTAAAACTTTCTATAACTTCTCATATTCTCTCATAAAGTTACTCTTAAACTTATTGATGGAAAAATGATTTCATATAAAATTATATTTGGAAAAAATTAAAAATATTAATTTTTTAAAAAATATTTAAAAATATGTCAAATAATTTTTAAAAGAAACACATTAAAATAAACCTCTCATCTTTATTTTCTCAAATAAGTCTATTCTAAAAATATGTTGTATGTCTCCTTAAATTGGGTCAATGTGAAAATAATCTGCAATTTTCTAGAATTTGATCAAGCAAGTTATATCAAAGAATCTTCATTGTAATCATCAGATGTTATGGTATAATCTAGAATTTAATGGACCATGTCCAAGCACATGCAGTGTTAAGTCTTTGGATGTATAACGTTTTGTTTTTTTATTGGGTCTGAGACTGGTCCACCGTCGAACATAGTTAAGTCCAACTCCACGTCGAACTCCACGTCGAAGAAGACCCAACGTAAAGGCTCAATCCATTATAACCGTTGGAGAGCACATTCCCCACGTGCTCTTCACCCGATTGGGTCTGAGACTAGTCCACCGTCGAACATAGTTAAGTCCAACTCCAGGTCGAAGAAGACCCAACGTAAAGGCTCAATCCATTATACCCGTTGGAGAGCACATTCCCCACGTGCTCTTCACCCGAAGACACGTGGCCAACTGATCTCGTATATCTCGCGCTTCTCAGAAAATGCGAAGCAGTTGATCCAGGATGATGAGCACGAGCTGCTCATCCCTACCTCCACGTAGGAGTCCTAGTAGTCATCCATTATGAGCCGGATCACTCAGTCCATAAGGGACATTGTTGGCTCAATGTTGGGAACTCTCTATAAATACCCTTTTTTGATGGAGGGTCAGGTATTCAATTCACTTTTTAACTTTTGTACTTGTCGAGCACATGCCACTCTTTAGCACCCCCGCGAGCAGAAACTCACTGAAAAACTTTAACAGGCTCACGCTGTCAGGCACAAAGGATAACTTTCACGCTCCCTCGCGAGCTCGCAGTCGCGAATCCGAATAAACACTCTCCTCGCGCAGAAAGACCCAACGCAAAGGCCCAATCCATTATAGTCGTTGGAGAGCACATTTCCCATGTGCTCCTCACCCAAGGACACATGGTCAACTGATCCTCACAAAAACGTTCTACCTTTCGTAACTGGCACGTCTTCCACTTCTCGAAGAACGCAGAGCAGTTGACTCAGGATGATGAACACGAATTGTTCATCCCTACCAGCACGTAGAATGCAGTCATTTATTATGGGCTGGATCACTCAGTCCATAATGGAGACGTTGGCTCAGCGCTAGAGACTCTCTGTAAATACTCTCTTTTGATGGAGGATCAAGTATTCAATTCACTTCTTAACTTTTGTACTTACCTGCTTTCACTCTGAACTAACTTTGACATTGGAGTGCCTTGCAAGTGCCTAATTCAAAAAGCTTGTTTGCAGCATCTTCCATATAATTCCATTTCCATGAAAAAAAAAAAAAAAACATGCATATAAAAATGCTGGAATAGTAATCTATGATATGTCACTAACTGCCATGCATCTAGATTTGTTACAATTGAGAAACTAATTATTAGGTTATTATTTCTGGCTCACAAATATAAATCAAATTCAAGTACAAATTCAAAAGAATCCAAATCCTTTCACATGAACCAACACACTGTTGGTATTATTCAACAGTGCCTGTTTGTTTATCAAACATTTACATTCACCTACTATTATTCCTGTCAAGGGATAAGATTCGACAGTGTTATAACTCCGAACCTTGAATCATTCCAACCAGTCACTTTGAAATTTTTAGTGGGTTAGTTTTGGAGACCCGCCCAATTCCAGAGCAAATCAGCCAGGAATTTGGATCTTGTAGTTAACTAGGAAATATAGTCCCCACAAAATTCAAACTTCACCTAATGTCACAATACTCTCACAACCCAATCACACAGCTTTCAGGTAACCGTGCTGCATAGTTCAGAATTACAAGTTTTCAAGTAAATAAAGACATGCTTCAAAAGACACAGCATATTTTTGGATGTAAAGATTTGTGCGCCAAGCCAATGCAGTCAAAACTAATTACTCATTAATGATTGGATTTAGCTCCTCCAAAATGATGTTCCTCTAAAGTAAACAATTGAGAGAGAGGGCGTGAGAGGATCCAAATCCAATTTATAGAGTAAAGTAATTTCAATTCTCAACCGTAATAACTTGTAAGTTGTAATAGTAAATGACCCGGGCAGGTCCTAAAATTTTAGGAGCCTGTGGGAAGCCAAAAAATATGCCCTCCTTATACAACAATTAGTTGTGTAGGTGGCAACATTCATTTTGAGCATTTGTAAGTTGTGACTAACATCATAAGACAATGGAATGTGTACCTCACTTGGGCAAAAACTCGCCGAACTTGCTCAAAAACTTCATCCTCTGTTCCCACAGCATTGATCTGCAGAGATTAGCTTGTCATATAATTTAAGTATAACTCTTTAACCAGAAAGAAATGTACAACTCTGACAAGAAGCTAATTTTCTTATATAAAAAACCCACCACATAACTAACACCTAACCAGAATCCTAAAAAATCAAGAGTGATTTTGCGGTCAGATCAAATGGGTGTCAGATCACCAGATAAGACAACAGATAGAAATGGAAATTGGCTTGTAATCTTTGGTTGTCTTTGGGTGGATGATTTGCAGACTGACAAACAGGTGTCCACCCTTAATCACATGTGTATATAAAGCACAACAAACATACACCTAAATCCCAAATCCAATCATAATTTAAGTGAAACCCACAGAAGATTAGCTTATGAATTTTCCCAACTGGAAGAAAGTAAACAAAATATTGAAGCTGCACAGTAGCTTACACCTTAAAGGTAAGTAACAACTATCTATAACCAAAAAGTTAAGAGAAAAAGTAGTTCCTTTGTGCAAGTGAAGGTTGTTTAAGTATCTCAACGATGCCAGTTCGACAAAATTCAAATGAAAATTGAACTAGACAATTACCCTGTGAAGTTTCCCTTTATTTGCATAGTAATCAACCACGGGGAGATTTAATGCTTCAAATACTTTAAGTCGTTTCTTCATTGTATCTATATTGTCGTCAATTCGACCCTGCATAAAATGAGTATCATATATCAAAGAGAAGTTTCTAATCATTTGCTGATATACATCATGAAGAACTTGATAATAACCTGATTGCGGCTCAGTACCCGTTTCACCATCTCTTTTTCAGGGCAATCAAAGAAAAGAACAAAATTTGGTTCTGAGCCAGTCTGCATAAGGAAGAGTGTTTTAGTAGAATACATGAGATTATTTGTTCTAATAAGAACAAAATGTGCATTTGCAAAGGTATAAAGAGGATGTTGCAATTTTCTAGTTAATTCAATGCAAAGAAAATTCGGTGCGGACATAAAAAATAACCCGAATACTATATCAATTCATTAACATTAGAAAGAAGGGGGCAAAGGAAAAGAACATTGCTCCCTTCAACTTAAATTTAAGTGACAATTTTTTTATAAAAAAAAAAAAATTATATGCACTTTAGGTTTTCACTAATAGGGATCGATAAAAGTTAAAAATTCAAACTTACAATTCGTTCAAAAGCTATCCGGTTCTCCTCACTTCTGGGGAAACCATCAATAAGAAACTTATGACTATCACCAGATGCCAGCTCTCTTAGAATCAATTTTACAGTCACTGCTGATGGAACAATTCTTCCTTCTCTAATTGTATCAAGAATCATAGAGCTGTTTCGATGTTTTAATTGTTAGAATCATAAATATGCACCAAAGAAACAAATATATAAAATTAGAATCTGAGAAAATTACCCATACTCACTATCAGAAACCATCTCCTTCCTCAAAAGATCACCAGCACTCAAATGCTTAAATCCAAAGGTTTCTACAATTTTTTCACATTGTGTACCTTTTCCACTACCAGGCCCCCCTGAGAGTATGAGAACAATGTTTGATTATCAAATATCACTTATTTAAGGGCAACTAAAAACAATTGTAAATTGATTCATTAATAACTTGTGGCAACCTATTTCTAAGATAAAATAAATATTTCCCATGTAACAAGAGTTAGTAGTCCTTAGTTCAATTTAGTCGGTTTTATTTCAAGATTCAAGATAGGTTAAGCCTAGCCATTTTATTGTTAGACTTCTGGCGTTCTCATTTGTGTAGTAGTATCCAGCTAGAACATGGGAACAAAAGAACAATCAATTCAAGTGATTAGTTTAAAGCATTGCAAATAACTTTCTAATTCTTTCTACACAACTTCTATTAGACTCAAGAGTACAAACATAGAATTAGAAAATTATGGCTACTTATTGTTCTAGTATAAACCAGAATTGTAGTACTTGTTATAATAAAACGCCAAGACACGGGATATACTCCTAACGCAGAGTTTTGCACTTCAAACACTGCATAAACAACAACATAACTGCTCTACACGCCTGTACCTATAACTGCCATAACCACTCAGATAACAATCACATCAAAGACATAACTGTCCTACAGAAATAAATAAATAAAGTAATTGGGCCATACTAGACAGTGACTACCTCTTGTTTCTCCTTGCATACACCTTTATTGATCTATCAACTTGCCCTTACTCCAGAGAATCAACAAGTTTTCCAGAGTGGTAGACATATAATTGACTAATATATAAACATCCTAGATGTCTCAGCTCCAGCATTAATCACCCTTGATTATACTTCCCAATATTCTCGAGTTTAAAGATAGAGACATTCTTTGTTAAAGAAAAAGATAGTGGTATTCAATTCTAGACATTATCAACAATCAACATGCATTAGCTTAACTTGTGTATCTTGTTGTGGTCAATCTTTAAAATTACAAAAAAAGGGTCTTACCAACCTCAGCAGTGTACGAACCAATTCTAATGTTAAATTTAAATATGAAGACATTACATCTATATACAATGTTCATTGTAAACATAGAAACATCGGATATGCAGGAAGAGAACAGCATGAAACTCACACTTATGCATTCACAAAATAAGGGTCTATCTAGAATCTAGATCAATGCTATCAATGGCGGATTGTGGTTGTCAGCCAAAAATCCACCATAGAAATATGGTATTGCGTACTATGGTTGTGGATATAATAGGTGCTGTGGCCTATGCGGGTTGGCACAAAATCCGCTGTGGCAGAAATTTGACAATACTGATTTACATTGAAAAAGGGTTTTGTATTTTCATTTCTTATTTCCACTTTAATTACAAAAAATCTACCTTTGGTTTGACTGCAACTTAATCAACAATAAAAGCATCAATGTTTACCTAAAACAAAAGCTATAACCGTATCTTTATGTTTGGGACAAACCCTGTCTTTTTCCTGCATCAAAGGGAACAAAGAAACAACGAGATCACTGAAGTATCATACTCGAGACAGTATTATTCAAAAGCAGAAAACTCTTCGGCTATATAAACAGTAAATCATTGAGAGTCACAAACTGCAACAAGTGAAATTAAAAGCAATAAAAAGTGAAATTAAAAGCAATAAGAAGTTATTTCAGCGAAATTACCAATTTAAGTTTTGAATATATCCACAAACTTGTGATTATATTTTAACAAAACCCAATGAGTGAATGATGATATTAAAACAAAAAATTTAACTAACTAATTAGAAAGGAACAATAAACATTAATTAGAAGAATTCATACAAGTAACTGATTTTAGCACACAGATAGTGATATCAAAATGCAGTTGAGGAGAAATAGCTTCCACCTAGTGTTGTCAATGGCGGATGGTGGATGGCGGTCCATGGCGGAGAGCCAAAATCCTGCCATACCAGCCGCTTTGGGGAGCCGTTGTAGCTGATTATGGCGGAAAAACCCGCAATATCGGTCGATATTACCATTGTTGCGAGCCCAAAAACTGCCATGTATATATCCACAGGCCATGGCGCCGCTATCTGATTGTGGTGAGCCCTAAAGTATTCGAAAATTTGTGTCTTTGCTATTTTATAGAGAAAATATGCTAAAGACTAATGAGACTGATTTTAATATACTATCTTCAAGGAGTATCAGACAGATTTTGAGTCTGTCATGATACATATTATAAAAACCAGTTTAAAAAAAACATAACTATCTTTAAGGCTATGTTTGAATATTATAAATGCGGAATGGAATAAAGATGTCATTTCATTGTTTGAGTATTACATGACGAAATAGAGCAATTTTGTCATTCCACTCAAATTGGAGGGTACAAAAAATTATGGAAAGTGATGGAATGGGATGGAATGCATTCCTTCCGGTTCCGCTCTATTTCATCCTTTTTTTAATCAATCCAAATAATGGAACGTAAATTTATACCATTCCAATCCATCAAATTTCATTATAGTCCTTCAATCCAAACATGTGCTAAGGCTTTGTTTGAATTGATGGAATCGGATGGAGCACAGAGTGGTACGGAAGTGAGTGGTATTCTATTGTTTAGATTATTTAAAATCTAATGGAGTGGAGCGAAATGGGGTGGTATGGATTCCATTCCATTCCATCACTTTTCACCATACTTCTTCCCCTTCAATTTGGGCGGAATGAAGAATTTTCGTCCTAAAATTTCCAAACGATGGAATGGAATCTTCATTCCGCTCCACATTCCACTCCGTTCATTTTTTATGAAATCTAAACATAGCCTCCAAGTGTTCCATCCATTTATTACTGTTTTAAAAAAATGAGAATCAGAACAAAAATATAAAAACTACTCTCTCCACCCTAATTATAAGAACTCTTTGGAAAAAAATATATATGTCCTCAAATATAAGTAATTTTTCAAATTACTAGATGCATTTATTTATTTTTTTTCCAAACATAAGTTTAATTAATACTATTCATTGTCTTGGAAGATAAACAAATACATCTATTCACAAAGAAAAATTTAGTAGTAATAGTTATATACAGAATGTAGCATTAATTATACCAAACTTTTCTCAATACAATACAAGTGAAAAAGTTGAAAAGTGATTATCTAAAATCAAAACTCCCTTAGTAACTTTTTAACAAAATCACTTTTGATAGATGATTTATTAAACAAAACGATTCTCTTTACAATAAACAAACACAACAAAATAATCTCCAAATTATAGATTTCTCGCACCGGAAAATGCAAAGGCGATCCTGAGGTAAATCTATGGAAACGATAAACGTTGTGCTTAGAACTTTCCTGGAACGAGAAAGAAGTGAAAGTGAGCATACGAAATCGATGAAGTGAAAGAGAGTGAGAATGTTAGTCAGTTACCTTTGTGATGTGAAGGGAAAGGGTTGATTTGAGATTAGCGGTTGCGCGTTTCAACATTTTTGGTTCTTCAATCGTGGCGATGAGGGGGTTTTGGAATCGATTTCAGTTTGTTTCGGTGTGCTTAGAAGAGAGGAGATCCGTCAAACATGTAGCGTGCGTGGTTACGCAGGGTGAGCGTGCCAGGGAACGAGTAAGTACACATGCATACCAATGACATGAGGAAATCGACACCTCAGTTGTTGAGTTTTTTTTAATTTTTTATTCTTTTTATGGAGACACTATTGTTGAAAGATTTGCTTAAGATAAAGATCTAGAGTTCAAACGCTTAACATTAATATAATTATTAATTATCTCCCTATATTATTTTCTTACAAAAATATTCTTAATTTCATATATAATAACATTTTATACAAGTAATATCAAAATAGATTAAATAAAAGAGGTGCTTGACCCACATTACAAGAGGTCCAACCATTTTTTAAAAAAAGACGTCGGTCCTTAAGAGATAAGACAAGTATTTGGATTTTTACATTAAATTGACAGGCACTAGACTATTCGACAACTTCCTTTTCCCTGTTGAGCAACCTGCTTCGACACAAGAAATTACAATTCAACACATCACCTAACTCATTGTGTCTAGGTTATCTACATTCATCATAGATCTTAATTTTTTGAACACTTCGACTTGCACTCCTTTCGTCATGATATTGGCAATCTGATTCTCAGTTTTGCAGTGTTCCAAGTTCAGCTTCGCTTCTACCACTTTCTCTCAAAGATAATGGAATCTTATTTCGACATGCTTGCTTCGTCCATGTGCTATCGAATTCTCCGCCAGATTGATAGCAGACATGTTGTCGATCTTTATGATAATTGCTCTATGATTTTTTTCGTGTAATCTCTTCGACCATATTCACCATCCATGTTGTTTCACATGCACTTAAAGAAGCAACAATGTACTCTGTTTCACATGACGACAATGTCACTACTGATTTCTTTCTTAAACTCCAAGCAGCTGGTGCACCACCTAACATAAACACATATCCAACTGTGAATTTTTTATCCTCAACATCACTTCACTAACTTGAGTCGGTGTATCCCATTAACTTGCATTTTTTTCCTTCATCAGCTATAGAAAATAAAATGTCATAGTTAAGAGTTCCTTCGAGATACTTACTATCATCTTTATCGTTGCTAGGTGTGATACCATTGGCTTTTGCATGAATCTACTCACCATACCTACATTGTATGCTAGATCAGGCCTTGTGTGAAAAATGTATCGAAATGATCCAATGAGTCTTATGTACTGCATTGGATCGACATCATCTTCATTCATGTCTTTCGACCGTTGTATTTTAGGCTCAGCTGGATTCGAAGTTGGGTTGCAACCTTGCATTCCAAATCTCTCGAGTATCTCATCTGCATATCTTCTTTGGTCCATCATCAAACCTCTATCACTCTTGTAAAATTTGATACCAAGGGAATATGAGGGATTTCTCAAGTATGACATTTCAAACTCCTCACATAGGTCATGTTTGAAATCTTCGATCTCTTTCTTACAACTTCCTGTTATCAACAAGTCATCGACATAGAGACATAGTATAAGAAATTCGTTATTGCTTCTTCTTACATATACTCCCTACTCAGTTGTGCACTTCACAAATTCCTTATCCCTTAGAAATGTATCTATCTTCTTATTCCAAGCTCTTGGAGCTTTCTTAAGTCTATACAAGCATGTGTCTCGTTCTTTGAGGTCTGCTTGTGCTTACTTGACCTTTGACTTATTCCTGTCAAACTTCTCTTTCGACTTCACTTGTTGGTTATTCACATAAGATTCTCACTGAATTCTTCTTTACACTTTCAATCCAATCTCATTCCTTAAGCTCATATACGATCACATCCTTGCTGATCACTACCTTCTTGTTCACTGGGTCGAACAACATGTATCCTCCAGTCAAATGATATCTTATTAGGACCATTTGACTCGATTTGTCATCAAATTTTCTTCTCAATTGATCTGACTCATGTCTATGTGTTATAGATCCAAATACCTTCAGATGACTCAAGCTATGCTTGAAACTAGACCAACATTCTTCTGGTGTGATTCCTTCTAGCCTTTTCGTCGGACATTTGTTCAAAATGTATGTTGCGGTCGACACAACTTCTCCCCATAATTCTTTAGGTAGATGCTTGGCTTTCAACATACTTCTCATTATATTCGTGATGGTTCTATTCTTCCTTTCTGCAATCTCATTCTACTGTGGAGTGTAGGGGGACACCACGTCATGCATAATCCCGTCTTTCTACATAATGTGTCGAAGTCTTTCGACACATACTCTCCACCATCATCAGTCTTCAAAATCTTAGGCTTTCAACCATTTTGTCTTTCGAACATAGATTTAAACTTAGCAAATACCTCAATCACTTCACTTTTCTTCTTAATTAGTTAAGTCCATAGTTTTCGACTGAAATCATCTATGAAAGTGACAAAGTATCAGTTACCTCCAATCAAATCCACCTGGATAGGACCACATACATTAGAGTATATGATTTCAAGAATTTCCTTCAATTGAACCACCTAGATAAGACCACATACGTCAGAGTATATGATTTTAAGAATTGCCTTCAACTTGCTTCCTGCATCCTTGCTAAAGTTATTCTTGTGTTGCTTCGCCTACACATATTTTTCACACACTTTATTTGGAATGTCGACTTTTAGTAACCCTGAAACCATATTTCTTCTCTTCAGATCCTTGATGTCTTTAAAGTTAAGATGGTCAAGTCTGTAGTGCCATATTCATTCATCTTTGCTAGCTGCAATTGCAAGGCACTTGTGCTTCATCACATTTAGTTCAATCTTGAAGGTTCTATTTTGAGACATAGAAACCTTCAAGATTAACCTTCCTCCTGAGTCAAAAACTCTCATCATCTTGTCTTTGATTGACACATTGTAGCTCTTTTCGACCAACTGCCCTATGTTGAGCAAATTACTCTTCAAGCCTGGTATATACAATACATTAGAAATTACTGACCTCTTTCCATCTTTCCTCATAATCAGAACATCATCAATACCTTCAGCTGCTAGAGTATTGTCATTTGCAAATTTCACCATGTTCTTCATTGAGGGTTTTATGTTGACAAACCAATTCTTCCTACCAGTCATGTGTGATGAGCATCTTGAGTCTAAGTGCCATTGGTCCTAAAATCTTTCTTCATCTCTTGTTGTGAGCATCAGCAACATTTCTTCTTCTTCATTCTTTGCTAGCTTTGTATCATTATCATGGTTCTTTTGTTTTTTAGGACAATCACTAGAGTAGTAACCATACTTATAACAATTGAAACACTGAATGTGACTTTTGTCAAATTTTCGAGCATCACCTCTTCCTCTTCCTGCTACACCACCTCTTTGGTTGCTTTTGTATGAGGACTTTCTCTTATTCGACCATCCTCCTTTTTGTTGATTTCGACCATTCAAATTATTGTAGCTTCCTCTACCTTTCCAACTTCCTTTTTCCTTATTTTCTTTTGCTGATTGCGCCTACAAAGCTAAATCACTCTTCGACTTTCCTGCAACTCTTTCAGCCATCCTTTGTTCATGGCATTCAAGTGTCCCTTAAAGTTCTTCCTTTGTTAAAGTTGACAAATCTTTCGACTCTTTTATGGCTACTACCACGTGGTTGAGCTTTAGAGCCAATGACCTCAAGATCTTTGCGAAAACTGATCTTTATGTTAATACTTCTCCATATAACTTCATTTGATTCACCAGTTCTGTAACCATAAGGAAAACATTTGTTATGCTTTCACTTTCTTCCATCTAAAGAAATTATACGTCCTTTTGTGAGTTTGTAACCTCACCTTTTTCACCTTCTCTGCGCCTCCAAACGATTTCTCCAAGATTTCTCATGCTTCTTTTGTTGGTTCTACATCACTGGCATTTTCGAAATTTTCTGGATCAACGCATTGATGAATTATAAAGAGATCTTTATAATCTTTTTTCTTCAATTATTTGTATGCAACTTTTTCTTGATCTGACGCGTTTTCTGTAAGTGGTGTTATTCCTTCCTTCATAAGATCCCAAAGATCTTAATAACTGAAAACCATCTTCGTCTATTTACACCAATTCTGATAATTATGCCCCTTAAGATGTTGGAATTACTCAGTTAGTGCTCTGATACCATATGTTGGAACCACTCAGCCAGTGCCCTGATACCAGATGTTGGAATTAAACCTAAGACTTTGAGTAATTCTGAATCAATCTTGATGAACAAAATTCAATCACAATTATCAAATTCTCTCTCTTGTTATTCACTCTTCACTCGAGTGAATCAACCAACCTTGGTTGCAAGTTTGTATCGCTACATAATGGTGATGAAAAACAAGAAAAGAAAATTGAATTGGGGAAGAAGAAGAATTTTTTTAGAGTAACTCTCTGCTCTCAAAATTGAAATTTTATTCAAGTGAATCATACTACAATAATAGGGTTACTCCTTATTTATAGATTTGGTTTGCTTGCTCCCTAAGCAAAGCCCAAAACAAAAAGCTAAAACTACCTAACTTTGCTAACATTATAAAATTAGGTTTAAGACAAATTCATATCGAGGCTAACTCATCAACACATTGACAATTAGGTGTTTCGACACACATACTAGACTATTCGACAACTTCCTTATCCCTGTCGAGCAACCTGTTTCAACACAAGGAATTACAATTCAACAAGAACTGAGTTAGGAATCTTAACCAAGTCATGCATGGATTAAATATGCCAAATTTTTCTTCTCATCTTTCTTCTTCCATTTTTATGTGTTTTACATCATTTATATGTGTTTGAGTTTTTCTCGTCTTTTTTATTATGCTAAAGGCAGAGAAGTATATTATTTTTATATGGGATGAGAGTTTAATCATCCAAATATTTATTCGTCATTTTTTTGTTAACTGTTTCTCTGAGAGATGTGTTGTCATCATCAAAAAGAGAAATTGTAGTATAACTATTAATGGGTTTTGATGATGATAATTGATGAAGTAGCAACTTTGAAAACATTAACTCCATTGATCAAACGACA